GCGTAATAATTTCTATTATTTTTCTCAATTTTTAATTAGCAAATATAGTCTTCACTTAATAACAATATCAGCTAACGAAGTTAAAGTAATGCTGAATTTAAAAAAGAGTTTTAAAAGTATTTTAATAAATTACTGAAATTAAAATAAAAAAAACCCGAAAACAATTCTTGTAAAAATTCATTATTCATCGAAAATTTTTTTTTCTTAAAAACTTAATAAATCTTATTTATAAAAGCATTAAAAAGATTTTCTAATTAAATAATGTCGTAGTTTTATTGATCATTTTTTATTTTGCGTTTTCGAACAGATTTTCGAGAAATGCGCAGCACTTTGAAAAAAACCCATTGATGAGTTACATTCTCCAAGGAGTCCTGCTTTTAAACAATAAGACAGATTTTGCAATTCAAATTTAATTTCTCGAAATTTCAAGAAATTAAGTAAGTGGGAGGGGGGGGGTAACATATGTAAAAAAATATTTTTACCAAGATTTTCTAAAAAAAAAATTTCAAAAATAATTTAATTCAGGTATGAATAAGTCTTGAAAAACATGGGTCATTTAATGCCGAAATCTTAATAATTTGAAATAATTTTGCAAGAATTTCCAAATAAATGTATTTTTTATCGGAAAAAATCGGTAAAAAAAATAATAGTAAAAATTAGGCCGACCGCTGACACAAATTCCCTCAACCCACCTCTCAAAAAAGGTTTTTAACTAAAGTTTCGAACATCCTAGAAAGGATTTAAAAAAAATTAATAAAATAATAAAAAAAATTACCTTGGTCTTTCCTCTTAAATAATCACCACAGATATCCTTCCCTGTCCTCCATTAGGATGTCTGACGCTCAACTTCTCGAGATCACCTCTCTGCGGTTGCTCGGTCTCACGTTGACTGCTGACCTGAGATGGAACAAATAAACTGAGTCAATTGCTTCTTCCACCGCAAGGAAAGTTGGCTTCCTGTGCCGCGCCAGGAAATTTTTCTCCCCGGAATCGATCCTTCAGATCTACAAATCAACAATTCGCCCTTGCATGGAGTATTGCTGCCCTATATGGTCTGGAGCGCCTTCTGATTGCCTCGGGGTTCTTGATAGGCTCCAGAGGCGGATATGCAATATAATTGTTCTGGCATCTCGTCTACAGTCACTTTCTCACAGACGCGCTGTCGCCTCTCTCTGTCTTTTTTACAAATACTTTCATGGCAATTGCTCCGAGGAGCTGCATTCGCTGGTTCCCAGACTTCAAGCGCCCTACGAGGCTGGCATCCCGCTCTCACCCTTTCACTGTCGAAACTACTAAATGTAGCCGTCTCTTCTACTTCAATAGCTTCATGTCTCGCACCTCTCGCCTGTGGAACTCCCTTCTCTATTCCAGTTTCCCTGAGAGCTATAATCTCCAACTATTCAAGTGTAATGTCAATCGACATCTCCAGTTGCCTTGATCTATCCACTATCCTTCTCCTCATCCTTTCCTCTGTCACTTCTATCTGATCTTGCTCCAAATCTTCTGTAAACCCTTGCGTCCTAGTGGCTTCCCGCCTTGTTTGGGGTGAAACGCTTAAAAAAAAATGTTGACGATAAAACATTGTTTTTATTAAGTTTGGGGCCTTTTTTTTTCTCATGATACTAAGCTGTTTTTTTTCGGCGAATTATTGGAGGTACCTGTTTAGAAGTGAGTATAAGAGTAATTTTTAAAAGGTTTCTTGCATACATGCGTATGAAGACAGGCAAAAAAAATGCGCGTATACAGACGAATAGAGTCGGATGAACAGATTGATAAATTAAAACCAAAGAACATACATAACGGATGTGGATGACCCGCTGTAGAGAAGGAAATTCACCTTTCCTTATATCATCTCGATGGAAAAACGACTACCATTGTCGACGTCAAGGATATCGTGAATGACCCCTGGGGCTTTCATGAATAGAACCACATAGAAACACTGACCCCACATTTCCTGTTAACCCAGACCTTTGATCTTTACAACGTTAACCCCGTCTGTCATTTATTTTGTGTTCAAACACACAGAAAGCACCTTTTTTTTTCTTTAAAAATCAATTTGAAAAGCATAATTTAGACATTACCGCTGTGGGTAGAGACGTGGCACTTCGGATAAAAACATTTGCTGCTTAAGCTGGACGCTAACTTTCATAGCTAAATGCAACTGGCGTTTTTATTTATTTATTTTTCACATTGATGTACAAAGCCCAGGAGCCATCCAAGGTAGAGGATTACCTGCCCGGAAAATTCAGTAACGGAAAATTCGGTAACTATGAAATAAAAGTCGATTGAAAATTCGGTAACTATGAAATAAAAGTCGATTGAAAATTAATTCTAGGGCCGTTCTGGGGTATGGATTTGGGGGTTAAGCCCCTCCTCTATATTTTTCAAATAGAAATGAAGCTATATAGTTTTTGCTTCTTTAAAAAATATAACTATCTAAAACTTAGATTATTTACTACATTTTTATTAAAATATTAATCTGAAAAGAAGATACAAGAACTTAATTTTAACTTAGAAAAATTGATTGTATTTGTTTGAAAACATTAGAATATAGTAAGTGAATAGATACTTATTTAAAAAATATTTATTTAAAAGTTTTGGATGTGGGGACTTGGCCCTCTGCCCTCCACCAATCTAGAAAGTACGGCCCTGATATAGTTGCAGTGGGGTTTTATCTGGATTTTTTTTTAAGCGTTTCACCCCAAGCAAGGCAGGATGCCACTAGTACGCAAAGAGTTACAGAGTGGGAGCGAGAGTAAAGAGGCGTGATGGAGGAAAGGATGAAGAGAAAGACAGGGAATAGGTCAGGGCATCTGGAGATGTTGATTGACATTACATTTGAACAGTTGGAGATTATAGCTATCAGGGTAAACAAGTAATAGGAAGGGAATTCCACATAGGGGAAGTGCGAGACATGAATCTATTGGAGTAGAAGAGACGGCCACATTTAACCGTTTCTACGGTGAAAGGGTGGGACCGAGATGACAACCTAGTAGCACGCTTAAATTCATGCAGTTTGGGAACTAGATAAAATAGCTCGTCGGAGCAGTTACCGTGAAAGTATTTGTAGAAAAGACAGAGGGAGGCGACGGCACGTCTGTGAGAGAGCGACTGAAGACGAGATGCCAGATCAGGACCAACCACATTGCTTATCGGTCTCTGGATCTTGTCGAGGATCTTAAGGCGAACAGCGAGGGCCCCAGACCATATATGGCAGCAGTATTCCATGCAAGGGCGAATGGTTGATTTGTAGATTTGAAGGATGGACTCGGGCGAGAAAAATGTTTTGGCGCGACACAAGGAACCAACTTTGAGTTAATACATATTTAAACATATGTGTGCGTGTGTGTGTGTGTGCAGGGGGGCTAGACTCCTCCAGAACGTACGGCCGTGGTATTGTCATAGTTTTTTTTTTTTTTAATCTATACCCCATAATTAATAATAAAAATTGATTTTAAAAAAATATTGGAGAAAGAGGCTTAGACCCCTAAGCGCCCCCCTTCTGCAAGTACGGCCCTGGTATTGTTTTATTTGAACTTCACAATTTTGTTATTTATAAATATAGTATAGGGAGCTTAGCCCCCAAATTTCCATTCCAGAACGGCTTTCAAGTCGATTTTCAATCGACTTTTATTTCATAATTACCAAATTTTCCTACCTTGTCAAAATTAGCGAATTTTTCCTTACCGGATTTTTCTAAATTCCACCGAGTAAGCGGTACAATTTATGCGAATTTTGCAGGGAAGATAACGGTTAACCTTAGATTAGAGCTTAGGGGTCGGTTCCACAGAGCAGCGGTTTGCGGGAAGAAGCTACTCGAGTGGAACTTACCTCTCACCAATGGAACAGAGAATGCCGGTGGTTCACCACTATGTGCAGGTTAGAACAGGTAGGACTAAGGGATGTAGTTCGTCTGACCTCTTTCCGTGGAAACAGCGGTAGCACAATGAGAGGCTTGCGACGTTTCGCCTGTGAGGAAAGGGGTTGTAGGGTGGAAAACAATCCGTCACCCACAAAGACACGGAGACGCTTTTGGACTCTATCGAGAATGGAAAATGAAGACTGGGCATCGCCTCCCTATATTTGGCAGTAGTACTCCATTTTAGCCTTGATATGGCTCTTGTAAAGGTAGAGACACTGCACGAGGAATTAGGTACTTACTGGAGAGAACCGGCCTTTTTTTTAAGCGGAGATGCCAGGTTAGGACTAATAATATTGCAGTTTCTTCTTTGTAGTTTATCGAGAATATCTAAATATATAGCAGAAGAACCAGGCCACATGTGACAACAATATTCAACCCATGGACAAATGGTAGACTTATAGATGTTAGTCCTGGGTATGACGATAAACTACATACGGCAGCAAGGCCTCTCAATAGGACATTGGAGGTTTTAAGGAGCGTGCAACCACCTCTTAATGGCGGATGTGATGTGACCTTTTAGGCTCCCAGCTAGGGACAAATAGTGAGCCTCCTAAACAAGAACACTATGAAAGTATAAAAATAGATTTTAATAGCAAAAATGCCAGCAATATATATATATATATATATATATATATATATATATAAAGACAGACAATTCATAATCAGCAATACATCTTATCTGTAGCTGAAGCCATACAACTGCGTTCAAAAGATTGATTTGAAGCCATAAAATTGTTTTCAAATTATATTAAGATTTCGGCATTAAATGACCCATAAATGTATTGATATGCCGCTAAACAAAAAAAAAAAAAAAAAAAGAAACTTCTTTACTCAGATGTTCGGTCCATGATATTTTCAGCATCCTTCTGTAGAAACACATTTCTCTTGCTTCAGTTTTCTTCGTCTGCGAATAGATTCTACAGCAGTCACTGCCATATAGGAGGACTGATATTACATAACAGACTAGTACTCTTTTCTGAATTTAGGAAAATTCGGTAATTTTGACACGGTAGTTTGGTTTTTGATTTGGTTTGTTTTACAGCATATCAACCTCAATGGGTCATTTAATGCCGACAAGATTTTTATTGCTGGTTATATTTTCTATCTATCTATCTATCTATCTATCTATCTATCTATCTATTGGTTTGGTTTGTTTTGTTTTACGGCATATCAACCTCAATGGTTTATTTAATGCTGGTAATATTTTTTTCCCAAAAATGTATTGCTGCTAATATTATTTTTCAACAAAATTATTTTTTAAAAAATGTATTTTTCGAAAATATATTGCTGATAATGATTCTTCTAAAATTTATTACTGGTAATAATCTTTTACAAAAAAATGTATTGCTGGGATTAAAATCTATTTTTACACTTTCATAGTGTTTTGACACCCCCTTACAGGTGCTTCTACCCCGGGTCAGGGTGGACCTGGGAACTCCAGCAATTAAGAAGTTGTTCCACGCTCCCCAAAATCTCCTGATCAGAGGCCTTGCTGTTGGATGTAGTTTATCGTCATACCCAGGACGCGGATGTAGTTTATCGTCTTACCCTGGACGCGGATGTATTTTATCGTCAGACCCAGGACGCGGATGTAGTTTATCGTCATACCCAGGACGTGGATGTAGTTTATCGTCTTACCCAGGACGTGGATGTAGTTTATCGTCATACCCAGGACGGTTGACAAGGTAGGACATTTAGATAACTCTGAAATATAAAGTCAATTAAAAATTGATTTTAGAGCCATTCTGGAGTGTGGATTTTGGGGCTAAGCCCCCCCCCCCAGTCCTATATTTTGAAATAACTGAAAATCGTGGAGTCTAGATAAAAAAATACCAGGGCCGTACTTGCAGAAAAGGGTACTGGGGGCTAGGCCACTTTCCTCAATATTTTTTTAAAAAGGATTATTAACCATGGCGTTTTAGATAAAAACCCACTACAACAATATCAGGGCCGTACTTTTGGAGAGGGCTAGCTCACCTATAACGTTAATAACTAAAAAAATCATGGGTTCCAGTTCAGATAAAACCCCACAGCAACAATACTAGGGCCTTACTTTCTGGATAGCTGTAGTTGTAGGTTGTTAAGCCAGCCATAAAATATTTTTAAATAAATATTTTTCATATAAGTATTGTTATTCATGATGACGGTCGTCTTTGAGTATAGAATCCAGAGGTTAGCAGTGAATATTTCGAAGACAGTAGGGAAGCGTAGTTCAGGTTAGCAGTGGACATTTCGATAAAAGTAGCAGAGCATAGTTCTTCCTTCTGTTCCTCTTCGCCTGACAAACTGGCACTGAACATTCGGATATAGTAAACAAAATGGCCGCCTTTATACACGACGAATTTAATATTTTACGTCTTCTGATTGGTTAACCTTCTATTGGTGGGCCATAAAGTGAGTCAAGTCATTTGGGCTAGCTCACTAGTTACATAATGTATCCAAAAATTGTAACAAGTATTTAATTAATTACTATAATCTATTGTTTTCAAGCAAATAAAATCGATTTAGCTAAGCTAAAGTTAAGTTCTTTTCAAATTATTACTTTAATAATAAAGTAGTAAATAATTAAGTTTTAGTTATGTTTTTAAAGAAGCAAAAACTATATAGCCTCATTCCTATTTCCAGAATATAGAGGAGGGGCATAGCCCCCAAATACCCACTCCAAACTTTTATTTCATCGTTACCGAATTTTCTTACTTTGTCAAAATTACCAAACCTTCCGTTACCGAATTTTTCGGGCACCTGCTTTTCTTTTTTTTCTTAATATTTTGCTTCAATTTTGGAAGAAAACTGTCGCTACCCGAATGAAATTTCGGATTTCAGTGTCGAGGTTTCCGAAATCTTCTAAAAAGTTTTCCAGATATTGAATTTTTTCTCCTTGCTTGATTTTGGCATACCCAGTTTGTAATTTGCATGTTGAGTAGTCCCTTTTGCAGACAACCATGCGTTCTTCTTCTTGCAATTGATATTTAGTCATTTCTTCTTGCTTTCTTTCACTTCCTTCTTCAGGAGTTCTTGCAGTTTCTTTCTGTGTCTGCAGGAGTTCCTGCAGTTTCCTTTATGTCAACACTGTGTCATCTACTTATCTAAAATCAATAAGATTGCCGATAATGAATCCTGGTAGGACTTGTAATTCACACTGAATGGCTTCAGTGTAGTGAATTTCAAACTGGTACCCGGAACTTTTTCCGTTGTTGTAGCCAATCTACTTGAAGGGGTCGACACGTTGTGAATTCAGAAATCCTCTTTTGTGTATCTTTTGGATATTTTTCTTTTTCTGTGTAAACTCTAGTGATATTTGTATGCGAAGATCCTAACAGATAGACTGTTTTTGAAACAATCAGACCCGCGCGTCTGCTCGTACCATCGTGCTGCATTCAAAGCTACTTTAAAACATTTTTTTTCTCATATTAATACACGAAATGAAATTAGGTGAGTGGTCATTATTATATTTAAATACTTACGTCTCTTAAATTACTGCCACCTTATTTGCTGATTAGATATTTGCATAAAGTAGTCAATTAAAGTACATATTTTTTTCAGATGCATGTACCGTATTTGCCTTAGCATTAACACCTGTGTTTTTGATTATTTAAATGTACAAAAAGAAAAACAAAAAACAAAAAAACTGCCCAGCCGTCTTACGGATGGGAGACAACCCAGCATACTACTGAAGGGGAGTTATAACTCTGATTAAATAATTATATACCATCTAACATTTATATATATATATATATATATATATATATATATATATATATATATATATATATATATCACATTATGAAAACGGACAAAGTCCGACAATTATTTTAAGACATTTTTATGTTTATATATATATATATATATATATATATATACACATACACATATATATATATATATATATATATATATATATATATATATATATATATATATATATATATATATATATATATATATATGCAAAATACTCGTAAAATGTGAAACAGCAAGACGTAGAAACAATAAAATGAGTATTATTTATTATCTGGTTGATATGTGGTGTTGGAGATATGAGAGACATTAATACTGAGTAAAATTGTGATTCCACGTTTTTGTTTTAATCTTATAGTCGTAAAAATAACCCGGAGTGTATTTAATTATTAAATTAAAAATTATGACTCATTTTTTCAAGTTCAAAACAAAGGAAAACCGTGGAACTTTCCCAAGTATTGCTTTTATGTATAAAGTTTGACAGAGATGTCAGTCATCACTCTCTTTCTAGCATCAGATGTGTCCATCATTTCTACTTTCTTTCTCTCAGGCATGCTAGAGCGCGCATACAATAATAATCATCGACTCGATTTGTTTGACGTCTCAGTCTCGATTTATCACGACCTAATTGTCAGCAACCATAGAGTCAATTTTAGTGTATGATGCCACTGTCTGGACAGTAACTAAAATCCTACATTCTAAGCTTGATGGAACCTACACTAGGATGCTAAGAGCAATACTTAACATCCAAGTAAATCTCAGTTCTATGGCCCCATCTCTGATATTTCTACACTCATACGAGAGCGCAGAAGGCGATTTGCAAGATCCTGTTGGCGGGCAAATCAAGAACTTGCGAGTGATCTACTGCTCTGGAGAGTTCGACAACAGCGAAGAGCTGATCATGCGGCCAGCTCTAGCTGCCTAACTACAGGATAGTCAGGTAGCCAGTTGGTCTCCCAATAATCAATTACAATGACCAACTATGTAATGACACAGGATGCTACCCCGATGACATTCTAACCTTCATCCAGGCCTGTATTCGTTGGTGTAATAGACATATGAATGTACGAGCTAGCTCGACCGAATAATAAATTGTCAGCTTGAAGAAGGGGTATTTATCTTATATACTTGGGACCTTCACAAAAAAAGCGATACCTAAAGTTGAAAGTGAATTTTTAAAAATAAAAAATCTTTCTTGAAGCTTTTATTTTTGTTTTAATTTCAAGCTAATAGATTAAATTTAATATTTCCAATAAGCAAAGTACTTCGCTTTATTTCAAATGCTAATTTAAATTGAGTGGAAAGATTAACTGTTTAACGCCCTTTTTCAATCGTCTTTCATGGCAATGTAATTATCTTTATTTAAAAGTCTTCCAAAAATTAAAATATACTTTGTGAAACTTTATTTGAGGAATATTAACTGATTTAAAGTATAATTAATCTGGTTTCGAACAAATATTATTTAATTTAAGTTTAAAATATTGCAGAAATGCATTTTTTAGTCCGACACTAGCTGTGTCGACAAAAGCTGTATCTATAAAACATAATTGAAGAAAATGACTTGAGAGTCTTATATAATTTTTAAGTACTCAATTTAGGAAAATATTTTCTGTAATCTAATGTTTTATTGAATTTTACAAATGTTGGCTTTAAAATTACTATAGTTATCACTCTTATATTCTGATAATGTCTTGTATGAACACCTGTACTTATAAAAATAGGTACGTTTATACACACAAAAATTGAAAAATTCTTTAAGAAATATTGGTGTTTGATGACTTATATTAATCATAAACAGAAAAGTTTATGATTAGTAAATAAAGTTTTCACTTAACAATATCATCTAAAAGGCTGAAATTAATACAGAATTTTAAAAGATTCAAAACTTAATAAATTTTTGTAATTAAAATTTCACAAAAAGTAGTGCAATTCTTGTAAAACTTCATTGTTCAGCGAAAAAAAAAAAGGTTTTTTAAGACAATAGTTTCCATAATATATCATTTATGAAAGCAATTAAAAGCCTTTCTAATTAAATAATGTCATAGTTTTATTGTATTTTTCGGTAAATGATGTTTTTATTTGAAAAAAAAAAAAAAAAAAAAATTCATATTTTAAATTCTCCAAGGAGTCCAATTTTAAGCTAATATATATATGAAGAGGGTGAAATTTAAATTTCTCGAAATTTCATAAAATTAAATTGGTTAAAAGATGTAAAAATACAAAAAAAAAACAAACAAACATTTTTACAAAGATTTTCTCAAAAAAATTTTATTGTATTTTTTATTTATGAAAAATATAAATATGAATTTTATGAAATTTTCTCGAAATTTCATAAAATTAAGTTGGTTAAAAGATGTAAAAATACAAAAATACCCAAACATTTTTACAAAGATTTTCTAAAAAAA